TGTAGTATTATTAGTAGAGAAAAAATGGAGAAGACAGGAGCAGAAAAAAAAAAGATGAAAAACTCACTTGAAAATTCTTGAAACACTTGAAAAATCACTTCAAACAATCCTTCAAAATCCGATGGGTTTGGATGGGATTGTTTTATGAATATGGTATTTATAGATAACACTAGAAAGTCCTTCAAAATCCCTCTCACACAACAATCCTTTAAAATCCTTATATTTTTGAATACCAATGGATTGTTTTTAAGTTGTAAAAAATCTCAAATGAATACCAGTGGATTTTAATGGACTCTTTAAAAAATCTTGAAAATCCAGATTGAATACCACTGGATTGTTTTTAAGTGACATAAAATCCTGACTGAATACCAATAAACTTTTTTACTCAAAAAAAGTCTTTTAAAATCCTACGAAATCCTAAATCAATACACCCTCCTTAGTTTAATTTTCTATTAATATTATGTAACTAATCATGTATCACGTGTATATACTCCTATTACGGAATTCAGAAAAATACTTTCACCAAGTCATAAGGTAACCTTTTTTAATGATCAAGTACAATGATTTTTTTATCTTTTCAATTTTTGTCACGTATATCATAATTCACATTTCTTTTTTCTCTACTTATACTTATAACATTAGATAAGTTATGAGGGTCTCTAACCAGAAAATCAATTGACTCTGGGAAAAAAAATATATAAGATTTTTAATTCGAACAAAACTCATTTTCTTTTGTTCTTTAGAAACCTTAGAGAGTGAAAGATTTAGAGAGAGAAGCTTAAGCTAAGAATCATAAGGTTGAGGTAGTGTAGAGTTTGGAAGCTTGGAGTTCTCCTTTCTTCTTCTTCTCTTTTCTCGGTTTACCTCAAAATTGAGGTAAGGGAAGTTATAACTCCAATCGTTGTTACATTTTGAGTTACATGTGGTTAGATCATCACCAAAAACGTAATTTGTGGTTGAGTTTAAGTAGATTGCATGTTCATTTGGGGTTGTGGGTGTTCTTTGATGAGTTGAGAAAAAATGGGTGATCTTGATACCTTGATGGTTGCATGTGGTATTTTATGAAATTTTTGATTTGCATGTATGACTTTGGTGATGAAAATGAGTTGTAAATGGTGTTTAGGAAGAAAATTTGTGAAGTGTAAGTGAGAAAGGAAGGAGAAACCATGAATATGTTGAAAATTCTCTACACTTAACACTAGAGTGTTTAAAATATCCTTAATAAGAGAAATAGAAATTCAGCACTACAACGGCGTGAAATGAGCACTATAACGGTAAAGAATGAGATCTAGTAGAGATTCAATGGTACAATAACAGTTGAGCGTTGCAATGATGGAAAAAAATTGGGTTGACAGAGATTCAACATTGAAGGTCCGAATTGAGCACTGCAACGGTAAGGTAAATGAACAAATTTGATCTTGGGGTTTTCATGAAAGTTGTAGCCTTGAATGTTAGCTTTCCATTGACTTTGGAACCACCTAAAAATGAGATCTAGAACTCCAATTATGACCTTTTTAATGAGTAAAGGTCAAGTTGTCAACATTTAGGTAAACTTAGCGATTTTTGTGATTTTTAACATGGTAGATGATGGAATTAGAATGTGAGGTCTTCATGAGAGTTGTATAAAATCTTATTTTCTTTCATATGATATAAGGATGAGCATGATAAGAGTAGTAGAACGTCTTATGCATTATTTTATGTGAAGGTTGTCATTGTATGGTATTTGGTTTTTGATAAGTCGAATGTTGACACTTGTTGTATGATGGATGAATTTGGTGAACATGAATAGAACACTTGTGTCTATTTCATGTCATATGATGTAGGATGATGACAATAACCATTGGTATGCTATATTTGTGTAGTTGAAAGAGTGATGAGCATTGATATGCTATATATGATTGATATGATACTATTGAATGAATTGTTGAGCATTGATATGCTATAATTAGATGAATTGTTAAACATTAGTATGTTATTCTTGGTTGAGGTGTTAAGAAATAGTATGCCATACATGATTGATATTGTTAATCTCTATATGCATTGACTGACTGTGATGTATATAGTAGATATATGGTGAGGTATAGATGTTGAGAATATGGTGTGACTTTAAAACATGTTGACTAATTGAGGACTTGAAAAAAGGAAATTATTTTGAATACTGAAGATCCCACATAGAATATCTTGGAGTGTTGCTCGGGTAGACCATTGTTGGAAAACCCTCCTTAAGTAAGCGTGTCTCTTGAAGTGGGTTTTTGAGGTGTGTTGAGTCTCCTTTAAGTTCTTAGTTAGTGGTTGAGTAAGGTAGGAGGTCAATGACTACAATCCTAAACTAAGTACCTGAAAAAGTTGCGTACTTCCTTAAGGATGACTAGTGAACTAACTCCATATATGACTTAGTAATGCATGTCAAGGTTGGGGTACGCTTATACCCAACTGTACCACTCTTAACAATGGAACCAAACTTTTCTAGTATAAGTGATGAAACCTGAGATTACTCAGGTGTGAAAACGATTAGATTGATTTTTAGGGTGGAAATCATTTAGACTACTCATGTTGTTAGAAGATTTCTGTAGGTGAATACGTGACGACACATTAGTCGATATGTTGCATGTGATGGGTGTTTAGGTGTGTCCATATGCATTGTTGATGCCTTGTGTTACATGGTTTAACTGAGATACATCTTTGCTCAGAGTGTTGTAGCTTTCATGTATGGTTGTGGTGTGATGTTGTATATTATAGGATTATTTTCTATATGTACATATTTTTAAACTTTAGCTTAGCCTTTTTGTTTCTATAGTGATTTGGACTGAATGATCATACATTGTATGGGAGCAGATCAAGGTTAGGCTTGAGGATCTATTGCAGACAAATGTCGTGATCTTTAGTTGATGGCGATGCTATTGC